GCAACAGCAGCACCAGTCTGATGCAGCAGTTTGCAGCAGCAGCACCAGTCTGATGCAGCAGTTTGCAGCAACAGCAGCACCAGTTTGCAGCAGCAGCAGCACCAGTCTGATGCAGCAGTTTGCAGCAGCAGCACCAGTCTGATGCAGCAGTTTGCAGCAAGAGCAGCACCAGTCTGATGCGGCAGTTTGCAGCAGCAGCTGCAGTCTGATGCAGCAGTTTGCAGCAACAGCAGCACCAGTCTGATGCAGCAGTTTGCAGCAACAGCAGCACCAGTCTGATGCAGCAGTTTGCAGCAGCAGCTGCAGTCTGATGCAGCAGTTTGCAGCAACAGCACCAGTCTGATGCAGCAGTTTGCAGCAGCAGCTGCAGTCTGATGCAGCAGTTTGCAGCAACATCAGCACCAGTCTGATGCAGCAGTTTGCAGCAACATCAGCACCAGTCTGATGCAGCAGTTTGCAGCAGCAGCTGCAGTCAGATGCAGCAGTTTGCAGCAGCAGCAGCAGTCTCATGCAGCTGTTTGCAGCAGCTGCACCAGTCTGATGCAGCAGTTTACAGCAGCAGCAGCAGCACACTCGTCTTAAGATAGGTCAAGTTTTTGCCGCATCTAAGGCCTGGTCAACGTGTTCCCTGGAATGGCCTTCACGCAGGAACTGGAACGTTCGCTTCACCTTCTGTCAACGCGACGGACTAGCGTTATGTTAAACAGGGACCGTACCAGCGAAATAGTTATTAGTTCGTAACTCGCTTAGCCAATCACTAAAAGATATTATAACTAAGCTCACCAATCAAAGACTAGAAATCTGCCGCCACGGGACGAGTACTTAAGCGATTTTTTTTAAGTTCGGCTCATTAAAAATCGAAAAAAAAGTTTCTATACTCAAGATTGTAGAGCTGTGACGATTCAAAATTATTTATAATTTGTGAGCGGTCTTTGGCTTAACCAATTGTGAATTACTATGTGCAGAGTTAATTTAATTTTTTCTACAGCCCAACAACACACGAACAACCAAATTTTTTGTAGAAGATTTCGAAAATATTAATTAATTTTTTTTTATTCTATAGCAATGCTGACGAAGTTTCTATGATTATTTCTTTTATTCCCACCCAACAAATATTACAGAAAAAAAGGGGTACGGATACTATGCTTCGTTCTCTATCGATCATTAGAGAAAATAAAGACTTGAATTTTAATTTATCGCAATGGAATTTTCAACCAATTGAAAACAAGATCTCGAGACGAAATCTCAGGGTTGCCCAGTGACTACAGTTCAGAATGCAAAAATTAAAACAGGGGGTTTCGGATTCGATCCCAGCTACCTGCGACAATTCTGATCAAAATCGGCGAGTTGCCGGAGTGGTTAATCACAGTGGACACTGAGGCAGTAAGTTGCGTGTTCGAGACCCACAACAAGCTGTGAAAATTCTGCGATGTTCAGAATCTGCGACAGGCCTGATGGCCTAATCTGCATCGTTGACACCGCTGTTATACTCGACCAATAAAAATAAGGTAAATACAGTGGTGACCTGTGAATGGCTTATTAGCGCTGCCGTCGTTTTCTAGTGCGCCATACAAGTTAATAGTGATTTGGAGCAATCACACAAATTTGGAGTAATCAAAATGCTAGATAATTTTTTATTTCAAATGAAAAATAAATTATAAGAGGCCTCTTTCATCCACCATTTCTTATTTCTATAATAGTGACATCACTATCTCATTCACCATCCTATAATAGTGACATCACTATCTCATTCACCATCTCAGAGAAATACCTTTCAAGAGGCCTCTTTAGCTCACTAATTTTCACTCATTAGTCATCTCATCCACTCACTCCCCATTTCATTCACTAATTCACCATCTCATAACTCATTCACTCATTACTCATCTCATTCACTCATTACTCATCTCATTAACTCATTACTCATATCATTCACTAACTCCCCATCTCATTCACTAACTCCCCATCTCCCTGTACTCACGAGAGCCTGCAGGGCCAGGAGATGGTCCCGGGTGCTCTTGAGGTCCTTGAGGACATCTTGGATGGCCTCCTCACGCCGGGTGCTGGGCCCCGCGGGCCTCCCCAGCCACGGGTCGTGGGTGGGGCCACGGGTGAGGCTCGTAGCGGGGGAAGAGTTCTGGCTGCGACCCTCGGGCTCCCGCGACGCGGCTAAGGGATAAATTATTGATAATTATTTCATTTATTACGTATTATTGCTTAATATTTTGATACAACGAGTCATAAGATATAAGTATTTGCTATAATTATATTAGCTGGAAGCAATTCTATTCATTCAGAGTATGAGGTGGTTTCAAATACTATATCATCGAACAATATTTAAATTTAATCTATTAATCTTAAAAAACACTGAATTAAAATTTGATACAAAATTGTTTGTACAGCGTGTGTAAACACTTGATCAAGCAGTAAGTAAGTTCTAAATCAATTAAGAATATTAATCTCTACCGTTGCTGTAACTGCATTTAACTGTTTTATTTTGTACCACAATGAGCAATGTCTTAGTTACTTCTTATACATGGAAGGCACTATCACTTTGAAACAGATCCGAAAGTATCGTATCAAGATTCATAATAATTGCCTGTAATTTACGTTTCCACAATTGCGATATTTATTATTCACTCCACTTACTAAAATCGGCTTGAATAATAAATAAAGTATTTAATTAATTAATTTTCGAATAAAGCAATTTACCTTTCCACAATTATCTTATTTATTATTCACTCCACTTACTAAAATCGGCTTGAATAATGAATAAATTAATTTATTTATTTGCGAATAAATTTCGTACCTTCATCTTGGTGGCGAGGGCTGGCTGGGTCCCCATTCCCCATTTGGGGGGTTGTACCTCTCACACTGGACTGACCAGATCCTCCTGGCTGGTTGTATGGTATTTGTGGTAGCTTGCGTCGACCACTCATGCGGTGTATCGTGTGGTACCTGCACAAACACAGCATATATATTTAAGTCAACATTGAATAACCCGAATCTCTTCAACATTCAATTACGTAAAAACAAATTGAGGGCCATTAGAAACTTCTGTCCATCATTTTCTCTACAGAATTTCCAGTATCTTTCTAATCGATAAAAAAAATATTGTCGAGTAATATTAAAACTTCATTGAAATCATTGAACTCAATGACTCCCATTGTCCCATTAACTCCTGAGGTCTCAAAATAAACGTTCCCAAATATCTTGATTCAAACGCTTTCATATCCTCTTCTCTACGAATTGATGAATTAGAACCTCACAAAAATTAACTTAATAAATAGTATGAATATGAATTAACATATATATTAATTTGCATTCACACCTGAAAGGGGAGTCGGCGTCGTTGGCATCATTGCTGTCGGCAGCGGCTGTGGAAGTGTCGAACGCCCTCCCGTCAGCGCTGCCGCTCCGCATTTTAGTTTCGTGATCCTCGATTTTCTCGCCGCTTTTCAGGAGTCCTTGCCAGAAGGTGAAAGCTGCCGGGCGGCTCGGACTTTGATTGGAGTTTGAAGCTCGAGAGTCTGAAGACGCTGTTGAGGCCAATTTAAAGAATACAAAATAGATAAAGCCTTCAGTAACACCAAGCATTAACCGACGATTGTTAGAGAAAGATGAATTGAAATTTTGAATAAAAACTATAATAATAAATAAATTAAAATTAAAGGGTTAGAAACCATTGTCATAACTTCGGAGCCTTTCTCTTTGCTGGATCTCGAAAAAAAATAAGTACAGAGAATATCTGAACGTCAGAGGTGACAATAAATCATAAACGAAAAATTAACTGAGTCCTAACATTTAAAAACCACACATTCTACATTTCACAACGTTCCCTAACAACACACCTCGTGCGTCCTCAGCATCAGTGTCGACTGAAGTATTGAAGGATGTATTCAGTGACGTCGTCAGTGAGGCATTGAAAGGCGACTGATTTCTTTGGTCAGGGTATGAGGATTTCTCACTTGTGTCGTGGGGCTGTACACGTGGGGACCTGGATTTCAAAAATTCTCCAGCGGATTTTCCCAATCCCCACTGAAATTTGTGGGAAGCTCGTAAAGAATCGTAAGCCCATCGAGAGCTACTAGCTCGACGTGGTAAATTCTCGTACACTGGTGAACATGGCCTGTAGAAATTGTATAAACATTACAAAATAAATCGAGTTGGAATGAAGGTGGTTCACAAAAATGCTTAGAAACTAACAAACAATACGTTTTGTTTTGAAATTGCTGCTAAGGAAATGTCCAGATGGCAGAGATTGATTTATGATCTTTTTTGTTGACTGTGGTGGACGTTTCAAGTTGATCAACATTTTCTTCATGAGGGAAAACATTTATAAGATCACTGTGATGATTTATTTTTCTAAGCAAGTTATAAAACGATGTTCGGCAACATCGACAATGCTATTTTCAAGGTTGGAAACCCCGAAGTTTTCAATCATTCGTTGAGTCCTTGGGTCAGCTGTCGCCCGTACTATTGGATTGAGAAATCGAGTTGGACTTCTCCTCTGCTGCTGAAATGTTTGAATAAAACTCCAATCCTGTCCGTATTAATATATCCTACTAACCAAGTGAATTTAATAAAAGTTCTTAATTTTAACTTGGACCTTCCTTGGCACACTTCCTGATGAGGGGAGCACAGGGCAACGAAACTAATTCGTCTAGTGACGAAAATAAAATTAGTTACCTGGGTATACCAGAGGACCCTGATAGGCTGGGTTGTCTCCTGAGGGTGCCTGGAGTGGTGCATCCTTCAGGATCATCAGTAGCCCCGGCACCAACGATTCCTCGACGAAGGGCACTCAAGTTCGGGGTTTTATCTGGAGCAAGGGGCATTTCCCCGTTTTGATCTGTCGAAAAAGGGCGCTGACTGATGAAATATATTCACTTGGACTTGGACTTCACTTAGAGTCTTATTCAAAAATGCATCATTGATAACTCCCTAGATTTTATTGTAATTAATCGAGTAGGTATGAATCATTATGACACCGAAAAAAGTTTATCATAGTAGTACAATAAGAACTGTTGAATTGCATAAAATTTATATTGAAATGATCCAAATTAAAATAAGTACTCTTAATACTTTACCTTTTTCCATACGTGCGTGTGGTTGTCGAACGGGTACTCTTGACACAGGCATTCCACTCGTCCTCTTTCCTTCGTCAGCTGCACTTCGGTCTGCGTCGTTAGAGGCCGTCTCGCCAAGTCCAACGCCCACTTGAATGTTCTGATTCTTCTGGTCTGTTTGTTTCTGAGAGTGAGAAGGACACCTCACACTCTGGGGTTTATAATGAGCGGCAAGGGCAAGGATAATCCGCATTATACTTTTCAAGTTGCCCTCCATAACATCTTTGCTTGTCATTTGCACCATCTTGATACGTTTGGCAGCCATGAACTGCAGCACGCGGTCGATGTTGTCGCGCATGGTTTGAAGTGCAAATTCGCCAGGCTCCCTCTGTATTCCAGCCACCTTCTCACCAGCTGTAATTAAAATATCATGATTCCAGATCATTCACAATCAAAGCATTATATATTGCTTGACGTTTTACTCTCAAACAATTAAAGAACTTCAGAATAAATTTACGAAATGAGCCAATTTTTCTTACGAGGAACAATTTTGGTTCCTTGAATTGTACTAACTTGATTTGATCAGCATTGTAGAATCTTCGAGTGACATTAAAACATGAGTGTAATCCTTGTATTATAAAAACAGTGTTAAAATCATATATTACCGCTAGGTAAATGTAAAGTAATAAATAATAATCATTTAATCAAAATTTTCCAAATGATACGCTTAAACTACGTACATTTCACTTTACTAGCTTTGTAACGTAGAAAAATTTCATCCCTAGAAGTCGCAAATAAAATCTTAACCTAAAATGTCGATGAGGTCGGCGAAAACAACTCCACTCTGGAGATCTCGTCTCAAATCAGAGATGAGAGGCAGAGACTTCTTGCGAAGCTGTGAGTTCACCCAGGCAATGTAAGCCTGAAATAAGATTTTATTTTCAGCAAAAACACCGAATTAATTTATCTTTATATTTCAATGAAAATATTATTCTATATTTAATATATAGTAAAAATATATATATCAACATTTAAAATATATATATATATATATTATAAATTCCTGTGTTGTGCAATTTTCGGCAAAGTAAATTTTTTGCAAAGGAATTCCTAACTCAATTTCTATTAGGATTTAGTGTAAAATTTGAAGTAAAGCTGAATTATTGATAAAAAATGTATAATTAATTTAAGCTTATGTTTATTCTGCGAAGATGACTGCTGAATTTTTATGCGAGTGTGAAATTAATAGTATTGTTGAATTTCTAATTCTCAAATGCAATTCTCTTGTATATTTCGTTCGCCTGGTGCATGCGTGTCACCGACATTTTAATTTATTTCGGTTTTAAATACACCTATAATTTCAGTTGCGGAGTTGGCTCTAGACTGAACAGAAGGAAATGTTTGGTACGTGTGTTTTAATTCTGAAGATCCATGTAAAGTGTATATTTTTTACTTTTATCGTGTTATACTCTTATACATGTGAAATAAATTATTTTACTTCTTGATCATACCTTAATTATGTGCAATACTAATTTTATGTAACCCATTTTTACCTTTGTATATTGTTTGTTTACAGAAACCGATTTTATAAAGAAAAGGAAAACGAAAAATCGTGTATTTAAATCCTTCGGCTAACGAATATGCGTAACAAGTATATCAAAGATAGAATGAATGTGTCCCAAAATAATTTTGATGCTTTTTGATGCGAGAAAATTCAATTGGACCTTCAGCAAATCAAATGATAATGATGAATTTATGAATTACCAATCATTCAAATGAAGTTATAAATAAAATTATTGATAATGTTTAGTCTATGCAGCTGCCCGAAGCGTACCTGCAGTTGCTGAGTCCATTCCATCCAAGATGCCGACGGAGTCACATTGTCAGAACATCCCTCATTCTGTGATCTCAACTGCACTTTTTCATCTTTTTGCGGAAAAGCCTCACGAGTCACACTTTCCCGCTCCGTCATCTTTCCCGGCTGCGAGCTCTCGCCCCACTTTTTCTCACCTTGCGGGTGAAAACTTCTAGAATTTCCTACAGGAGCAACAGGCCTCGAAAAGTCTTCCCCAACTAATCGGCCTCTCGTGGTTGCTGCATTGATTCTGTTTTGTGATGGTTGGTCACGCACTGTCAGACCATTAGAATGGAAATCTTCTTCTGCTAATCTGTTTGTTTGCCGAGAATTGTCTACTCCGAGATTCCTGGTCTTTTCCTCAGAAAATATCAGATCATCAAATTCTCTTTGACTCGGGGGCCCTCGACCATCTTCAGTTTTACTTCTTTGAGAAGAAGGCATAAAATTTCCAGAGCTCGTTCCGCTGAATGTTTGCCGTCGAGAGGATAAAACGATGTTGTCATGCAACTCCGATGATTGAAAATCATTTTTTGGATCATCTTCCCTTTTGATCTGAGCGTCCATTCCTCTCGTCAAGATGACCTGCCGAGCCCTGAAAGTTCCTTCGTTTTCATCAGGAGATCTAAAGCTTCGAGTATGTTGAAGAAGCTGCTTTGAATCATTTGATTCTCGGATAAAAAGGACAGAAGTGTCCTGCTTAGAATGTTCTTGAATTTTTTCGGGACTGTGATTTCTTGTGATTGGTTGAACCCTTCCAGAAGCGTTTCCACTGCACCGTAATTGAATATCCATGTTATCTGTTGCAAAATTTCCGTTACGCTGATTCTCAAAACGTTCGTGGGATAAGCTGCCATTATAAACATTATTTTCTTCGCTAGGAAGTTGACTCCGAAAATTAAACGGCCTCTCAACAACTTTTTCGTCGTGGATTCCCTGCCTAGCGGCTTGCAACCTGCTGTGCTGAATTTCGTTGTCCATATCTCCGTTTTGGTGGAACGGTTTCCGAGGGCTACCAGATTTATTCATTGAGCACAGGGTAACACTCTCCGTTTGGCAGTTGTAACTCTGATTGGTAGCTGATGGAGGATAGATGCTATCTGAAGGTAGGATCTGTGACATTGATGTTGGAGAGGGGTTGTAGATGTTCACATTTTCTTTCCTGGGACTTGACTGAGAGTAACCTGAAGTTCCTGGTCCACAGTTCGAGTTCAGAGCTAGATTCGATAAGTGAGAAGATAACATTAAATCTTCAGTAGATTTCGTTGAAATAAAATTATTGGTTTCATGTGACACATTTGGGCAGTTCAGAGACCTCGGACCGCTCTCACCAACCCGAGAGTTCATCGAGTCAAATCCAGAATCTTGATCTCTAACGTTCCATAGACTATGGCTGGCCACATCAATGTTATGCCGGGGAACTTCACGAGACAAATCTAAGTTTTTCTGATGGATCAAGTTGTTTTTCCCTTGACACGGAGGACCTCCGCCATTTGATACACCATCTCCGTGGCGACCAAGCGGCACAAATAAGTTTTGCTCAGAACGAATATGCAGTAGACTAGGATTGTCTGGGCGAAAATTTTCAGGCTGATAAGCGTTGTCTTCGTAGCGATATTTCTCGCTAAGTTGCGAGAACCGATTTATTCGTTCATGGGCAAACATTTCTTCTCTTCGCGCGAGTTGCTGTGAACTTACTGGTTTAGCAGCCCCGGGATCGTAAGCAGACCCATTTATGGCCATGTTACTGCCGTAACCGTAGGTCGGGGGTGGAGGAGCCTGGTAGACACGACCTCTCACATCAGGATGAGGATTATGAATATTGTACTCATGATTCTGCCTCTCATCCCGGTAACCCATGTGGTGTTCATAAGGAGGGGGGCGGTCTCGACTGCTGGTCTCCTGGCCTCGGAAGTGGGCAGGTAAAGGCTGTCGGTTTGTAGGTGGTGGATTCGATGGCGACCGGACCTTCCCTGCATTATTATCCCTCTGCAGGCCTCTGCGAGGGAGAGTGCATGTTCCTGGGGCAGTTAGGTGTTGCTGGTGGTATGGAAGTGGAGGTAAAGGCTGGTTAGGGGGAGCTGGCATGCCGTGGGGATGAGGCCTCACATCTCCGACGCTGGCGTTAGCTTCATACGAGGTGATGCCACCCAGCCTGCGAACAACAAAAATAATTAAGAAATGTAATTGTTATTAAGTTTTGAAAGGGGTAATGAAACTACTATTGATAAGTTAATTATGAGTATCTCGAGACTTAGATACATTATTTACTCAACCATCGTGGATTTTTCGACGATTCGTTCGGAAATAAGTTGTTATTGGAACAGAGGCGTAAGATTTGCGGACAGAATTCGGTGAGTTCTCTGATTTTCGAACATTTATTAAGGACGCGTTTGACTCGGCGACCGTCTCGACGTCGCGAACGGACGCGACCGTATCCATATGAACGGATAAGAAATTCTATCCTTAATTTTTTTAAAATTGCACTTAAAATATATAGGTGCGCATAAATTCATAAAAAATTAGGAAGTTTAACGTCATTGCATATTAAATTTCTGGAATAAAATCAGGGGGTGATCTAATTTGAGGCGAAATGCATGAATTTTGAAGTAAATTGTGCTGGTAAAATTACCTTAGCGTCAATCTGCATTAATCCCAATTTCTCTCAAAATGCGAGGAGAAAACGTTCGTTTGGCTACACGACCAAAGTTGACCTACGCACCTGCCGATAAAAGTAGTAGAATTTTTGTCATCAGCTGAACTCGCGGTCCGACACAAAGAGGTATCACTTTTTGACATAAGGCGCCTCCACATGGCTTTTTTACGATTCTTTTTGCCAGTGGTGGTCAGCATGGAGTCGTCTGTTTCTCTTTGACTCTTTTGGTTTCTGATTGTGTTGTCTTGGTCTTCATTTTTGGATTGGTCTTGCCTTTTTACATCCACGGTTATTTTGCCAGGCTTCAAGGTGGCGAAGTTTTGTCTTTTCGTCGTGAATGAAATCGACTTGACTGGCCTAACATCTTCTGCCGGCTCATCGTGTCTCGGAATGATGTGAACTTCGATGAATTTCGTAGATCCTTTCTTTTGTTTTTCTTTTGGGTTAGGCCGAATGTTAGCTTGCCAAATACTCCTAGATTCTTTTCTCGTGCATGAATCTTTCTTCATCACTTTCTGATTCTGCATCCGACTCCTCTCATTTTTCTCTTTTGTTTTATATTTGTCGGGAACATTGAGTGCTTTCTTCGTTTTATTCAAGACGTTTTCGTTTATTTTCAAAATTTTTGATTTTGCAGCATCACCTACCATTTCTGTAAGCTACGCAATTCCTTATTGTAGAAATGGCAGTTCCCAGACTCACTCGAACTTCAACTTGCTGCAAATAGCACTGACCGTTATAAAGGAAATTAATAATAACCAATAACTAAATTAAAAACTGATATATAATAATCAAAACTTCCGATGCAAACAATTAGTTGTAAAACTTAACTGATGATCTTAAAAATTAACGCTATCAATTATCTGAAATCACTAGAATCTTTTCGTTTAATATTCTTTTTACAAAAATCTCCTACTGATGCATATATATAGACTCAGCAATGAGTCTATATATCCGATATCTTTGGGTGACGCGCATAATCATCTCATTACAGCATAATTAGTTTGTGTTTAGTGTTTATGAGAATTATACGAAATCGCAGTTTTAAAGACTGTAATGCAACGAAAGTTTTTCGCCTGTTATAAATTCCTAATAGCCATAAATAATTTGCTAATGAAAGACAACTCTTCCACATACCACACTTAACCGATGTAAATGACATATTTCATGAGATATGAAAAACAAATGAACGCTAAAATGATTTCCGTCTGACATTTTGTGGAGAAAAACTTACTTAAACATCCTAAATCTTTTACAACACAGTTAGTGCAGTCTCATACAACACCATTATTGGCATCACGTGAGGCTTCCCAGATGAGAACATCTTTTATATTACTCACGCACCAACATGCCTCTAATTAAAGAGGTAGTAATTCTTTATAAACTTTCCATAGAACTTTTACGAGTTCTGCGGAAAGTTTTCATAGGCATGTGGACCAGTTGAGTCGTGACAAAAACGTCTGCATGAACTCGCTAAGATTTATTTTTTAAAACAGTTTGTCAACGAAGCAATTTTCAAGCATCAAACTTGAACTTTTATGCAGTCTCTTGGTACTGCATTATTTGTAATGATATATTATATATGCCTTGTGCTACCCGGCCATTCATGTAAAGAATGACGCAATTCAATAAAAATACTAAATTAATTCAGATTCAAGAATCTGTGGCACTAGCTATAAATATAGGGCGCGTCGTGAAGGTACCAAGGTTGCATAACGTTCAGGTCTCGTGATGCAATTTGCATTCAAGCGAGGGCAGTGGAATCTTCGACGGGGATCGCTAACGTTCGACGCAACTCAATTTGAGCGGTCGCGAGATGTGATGTGTCCATATTTCTTTAAGTATCTATATTCAGCGGAAAAATAAATCATTCAAATAACCAGTTCTTCATTTGAAAATCACTAATCCGTAACAACTTTTTACTTTTTTCATTCAATAAAAAACAGTAATCAATCTTTTACTCATGCAAAAAAAAAGTTCTGTCATTTCCACATCATATTGCTTGATGTTTAAAACCCTAGACCCATTTATGTTGCAATCTCCCGTCGCCATTGCGAGCATCTGATTCAATGAATTGGCGTGGTATATTCGTGAGCAATCTTCAAGATCGTATTAAAAGCCCTTGCGCAATTCATTCACATTCGATTTGATATCACCGAGTCGTTTGTAAGCGTTCAAAGTTAACAAGGTCCCAGTCTATGAGGTAGTGAAAGTATCGACGATCGGTGCTTGGTAACGGGGCTTTTGATGAGGTTAAATTGTGGTGAAGCTTATCATGAAGCGTGTTTTATGTATTTGATGAAGATTACGATGAAGCGTGAGATGAAGCTTGCCATAAAGCTTTTTACGAGCTTATGGTAAAACTTGTAATGAAGCGGAGTGTGAAGCTTGAGGTGAAACTTGCGTAAGGAACATGATAATGCCCCTAACAATTAATTTATAATCTTGTGGCAAGACATCAACTTATTACATGTACTGTGAAGGCTTGAGTGGCTTCCAGTACGACTAAAATCGACTAGTCTCAGTATCAGTATACTGGAAAATAAGTTTCGATGCACTACAGATATTTTTCAGCGATTTTTGTCGGATCTTGAATCCTATCGGCAAGCAGCCTCTGCGTGATCTTTACGCGTCAAAGCCAGCTGTGCGTGTCAGCTTCCGGTGGAGCGGAAATGCGCATCTGTCCTTTCTTTCTTGGTAATCTTGATACTTGTTTGGGACGTAGCAGTCCCAGGCCACGATGGATCGCCGACTCTCAGCGAACTCAATTTGTTGGACTCGGTATCATCAACCAATCATCCACGAAATTTTCAACGAATAATTTAGAAATTACGGCGCATTGATCGATTCAATAAGCATCTAGTGTTATTAAATAATATCTATAAGTAGCAACTAATATGGCTGTATGCTAACATAGTTTCATTTCTTGTACTTGTGCAAATACACCAAGAAAAATTTTGTGTTTGATAGGTATTAAGGTCATCCGAAAACGAAAAGTTCTTCATTCTTTTCATGTCATGGAACTTTTCTTCCAGGCCTAAAATCGGAACTCAAAACCGCGGAACGGAAGCGCAAGTAAAGCAGATGGCGTCCGCCTCCCATTACCGGCTCGAGCAGCTGCTGTGGCTGCTGTGGCTACACTGCAGGTAATGTGGCTAGGAATGCTACTGCTTGCTGTGGCTGATGAGACTACACTGCAGGTAATGTGGCTAGGAAGGCTACTGCTTGCTGTGGCTGATGAGACTACACTGCAGGTAATGTGGCTAGGAAGGCTACTGCTTGTTGTGGCTGCTGTAGCTACACTGCAGGTAATGTGGCTAGGAAGGCTACTGCTTGCTGTGGCTGGTGAGGCTACACTGCAGGTAATGTGGCTAGGAAGGCTACTGCTTGCTGTGGCTGCTGTGGCTACACTGCAGGGAATGTGGCAAGGAAGGCTACTGCTTGCTGTGGCTGCTGTAGCTACACTGCAGGTAATGTGGCTAGGAAGGCTACTGCTTGCTGTGGCTGCTGTACTGCAGGTAATGTGGCTAGGAAGGCTACTGCTTGCTGTGGCTGGTGCATTTGGTGTGGATGTAGTAATTAATTTATTTAAGCTATCACGACAAAGTTGACTACAGAATTTAATGTTGCTGAATAGGCGGTCAAAATATATGATTTTATCGTTGCAATTTCATGGACGGGAGATAGAATTGCTGCCTGAATAGGAATTTGAAAATAAATTCAGAATTAGGCATGAGGAATCACACCTTCATTATAAATAAAAATAAATAATTAATTCGATATTTCAAAGATTGAATTAATCAGTGATGCGACATCGCTTACTATTCTTTAATAAGAAAGATATGGAAGAATATCGGCCATCGAATAATATTCATAACGAAAAGGCAATCTGTAGCACAAGGGAAGGCGTGTTAAATATTTCATGCAAGTTAAAATTTGTCATTATGCTTTCACACAGAAAAATATCAAAAATGTAAATTTGTAACTACCCGATTCATATAAATTTTTGATTACCCAAAGTTCATTTTCAAAAATTTAAATCTTCAACTCAATATTTACACCCAAATTAAGCTTTTTAGAGTCGGGAAAAAAAGTTTCGGTGGTAAGTCAATTATTTTTTCTAAAATGCACCAACGTCTTCAGGGCTATACGTTTCCTCAAAATATTCAATTCTTTTCCTGATCAGTAAACACTCCGCCGTTTATCACTGTTCGTAATTCCTAAACACTCCAGGACTCCAATTAAGGTGCGCACTCCACCACGGGCTGCTCTCCACTGAACTCCAGCGACGTATCAAGCTAACGTCGCGTGAACGCCGCACGCGACGTCTGCGGTAACGAGCGCGCGTTACTGATACGAGTCTTGCGACGTCGTGTACAAACGGACATGGTGTAGGAGGAACTACTGCTGCGAACGTTTACCTACGATTATTATTTTTATTAGTAAACTCGCTGATATTTATCTGTCAAAATTTATCCTTTCAGCGTACGGTGCGACGC